TATTCTTCTTCTGCTCGGAAGAGTGATTGGTCACTGTATATGCCCGGAAGACGCCGCCATTCGGATAGGCCCCAAAACAGCTTGCAGAGTTACGAATCTTTCTTATGCAATGCCCATAAGCCCTCATTTGAAGCAGCCCTGAAATAACAGCATCAGGGTTATGTTCAGACACCAAGTAATTTGATTCCGCCCATATCCCACTTCATGACGACAAAAATCCTTGGAATCGAACGATGAGTTCAGAAACGACACAAACCAAAAATTTTCTCTTTGGAATTTCTTCGAACAATTTGCATGCAAGTCTTCTGTAAATAACAACAAGATAATCGTGATTCCACCCATACCCGCGCTTGGTTGAACTTCTTCACTTTGACATTTGGGCAGAAATCACAGTGATATAGCATCCGCTGGGATCATCCCAATTCTTTGTTTTAATCAAACAGTCGGATTCCTTTGTCCATGCCAGTTACGAGTTGCCTGTTCGATTCCGGGGAGGGAGAGCAAAGGAACAAACGAACCGCCTCGGAACACAACAGATCACGGCGGAAATCAAAGATCCGACACAAGCGACCAAAAACCCTAGGTAAAAAAATCGAAATAAAGAGAGGAGCTCGGGAGGGAGAGAGGGATTGGATCTGGGAAACGTGGCGTCTGCTGCTACGGGAGAAGAGAGTCGAGAAACAGATGCGACTTGTAGCCCTCGAAGCTTCTGCTTGTACCAGAGGATTATCGCGCGCTCTCACATTTTATTCTGCTTACGCAATCCAAATGTATTAGCTATTACGGTTGAGAATTAACATTCTCATAAAAAAAAAAATTCCATAACACAACAAATTATTCCTTCTCGTATAACATTTTCAAATATGAAGTTTCAACACCTCCATGGCTTTAGTATTTAAAATATAAAAAATTGAAAAAATTATTCAACTATGACTTGATTACCAGATCCATATCGAAAATTTCGGTTTTTAAATTCGTTATAAAGAAATAAAAATTTTTAAATTAAAATAACAGAGGTATAGGACCGTTAATGAATTGAGTGAGTATAATCAAATATTAAATTTTGATAAAATAAATATTAAACTTTTAAAAAAAATCAAATTTCTAATCTTCTAAAAATTTGATCAAATTTTTAATGGTCAACCCACGTGATTTCGTAAAATTATCATATCGGAAATAACAAAAAATTAAAAATAAAGATAAAAATAAATAAATAAAACAAGTAAAAATAATAAAAATAGTTATACACGTATACATATATACATATGTATATATATGATATATATATATTTATATATATACACATACATATATATATGTGTATATATGTATATAAGTATATGTATATATGTGTTTATATATATTATAATTATTTTATGGTTTTTAATTATTATTATTTTATTATTTTTTTAGTTATTTTTATATTTTTAAATTTTTTGATCATTTTATTATTTTTTATTATTATTTTTTAAATTATTAATTTGTCATTTTTTTATATGGCATCTGAATATCAAGTTTGACAAAATCATATTAGTGTTAACCATTAAAAATTTGACCAAATTTTGAGACGATCGAAAAATTAGAAAAAAATAAAAATTTTAATATTTGTTTTGTCAAAAATTAATAGTTAGCTCTAAATATAAAAATTGAAAAAGTTCATTATTAATTGGATAGATAAACTATGTAATTTTTTTTGGGATTTTTCCTTTAAAATATTAACCATTAGTTTATCAAATTTCTATTCTATTTGAATAAATATATTCATTTGTAAGTTTATCAAGACTATATCCAATTTATTTTTAAATATAAACATGATTGATGGTAATAAAAATTATTTTAAGGCATGATTAGGCAAATAAAGTAAATGACAGTTTGGAGAATATTTTTTTTCTTATATTTATATTGTGACATAGGGGTGGCCACCGGACACATGTCGAGTATTTAGGATTTTTAGAGTACTCGAAGCCGAATTCGAACCCGATGATTTATTTATTTCAAAATCTGAACTCGAATTCGAATTTTCGAGTACCTAAACTATATTGCCTGTGAAACAATTTTTGAATACCCATTGATATCCAAATTCGATGGATTTTAAACACATTTTAATTAAAAGTTAACAAATCTATATATTACATATAAATAAAATATAAAATTATTGAAAATTATTTATATTTAAAATAAATATATTATAAAATGATAGTTTTTTTATCTAAACAAAGGTAAAAACAATTAGATATTAATAGATGTATTTGTAATTTTGTAATAATTTAAAAATATAATATTTATTTATTTTTTATTCGGATACAAGAAGATAATTACCCGATCCAAAAATATAAACTCTAACTCAAATTTCGAGTTTTAAGTATATTAAAATCCAATCTCTATCTCGTCGTAATATGGATATCCAAAATTTGAGATTTTGGATATCCGATCTTCAAAGAAATGGATATCTGGAATTAGGTTATTTTTGTTAATATATACTATACGAGAGATATATACATGTGTGAGAGGAGATATTTAAGGTAACAAAATACCAAAAACTGATGAAGAGATTGATATGAATATTAACAGCATGATATCCTTCCTATATAAAGTAGTTTTCTCTATAAAAAAAAACGTTCCAAAAAAATTATAATATTAAATATGATTGATATCACATGTTTAATCTAAATATAAAATTTAGAAATATAGTTATCCTTTGCATAATTCCGATATTCCATTCTTTTTAGATTTGGATTGTTTTTTATTATACTAATTTTATTTTACGTTAACTTATATTTAAATTGAATTCAGATTTTATTAAAAATAGTTATTTTCAAAAGATTTCCGTTTTTTCTATTATTTCTATTTTTATCTTATATTTATATTCAATAATTTTTCAGATTAAATTTATTCCTAATATATTTATATACTATTCAAATATATTTATATATCATTAGATTTAATTTAATTTTACATACCAAATCGAAATAAACACTTTGTAATATTTTTTCCAATAAACATTATCCAATAACATTTTATAAAAAAAAAAACTTTTCTAAATTATCTGTCGAATAGAAGTTTATAAATAGGCGGAGTGACAGAATCTACGATTACTGAACTCGAAATTTAGAAACCAAAATGGCAAAATCCAGACTAAATTATATGCCACAATTACTATTCAATTTAAAATATATATATACAAGTATCCAAAATTACCTACCAAAACAAGAAAAAGAATTTAAACCGGTGTCATTATAATAAATGCTATCACTTATGGATAATAATAGAAAGAAGATTAGGCACACACTCTACAGCCACATGTATACACACACAAAGATTCCCAGGTTTTATATCTATATATGTAGACAAACATAACAAAAATACATATATCCCTAACTCTCTCTCTCTCTCTATATATATATATATATTCATGTATATATATGTGGTTATGTACGTATCAAACCAGTTGCATATCTCTCTCTCTCTCGTGTCTGTGTGTGTGACAAATGGGTTTTAGGGTTTATGTCATTTCTTCATCAGTTTTCGTTCTTCTGCAATTTGCGTCGCTGCTTCTTGTTCAGGGAAAAGGATGTGATATGTTCACAGGGCGGTGGGTGAAGGACGCCTCCTACCCCTTCTACGATCCCTCCGCGTGTCCCTTCATCGAACGCGAGTTCGCCTGTCAGAGAAATGGACGGTCGGATCTCGATTTCACCACCTTCAGATGGCAGCCCCTCCATTGCAAATTGGCAAGGTACACACACACATGTATACTTATGCCTCCTTCCGTATACTTATGCTCTCTTTCTTACATTTTTGAATAATGTATATATATATCTCCCTTGTGACTATTATCTTTTTTGAGGATCTAGGATAATGGAAGTGATGATTTTTGTTAATTAAATCGTATTGGATTGCATAAGCCGATAAAATATTATTCGCATGGTCGATTGGATATCTCGATGTGATATTTCGTATTATATTTTACTATTAATTTATAGGTGCAACATTCAATAACATATTCTTTTTTTTTGGGTAAAACATATTCTTTGATATATGCTAATAGAAATTCTCCGAAAAATATTGGTTGGTATATATTATTTTCCATGTACTTTTTAAGAAATAAACCTTTTTAATTGGCTAGAGCTTGCTTTATTGAGAACATTAGCCATGACTATATGGAATAAGCATTCATTTATATTGGATTTGGTGCAATGTCTATTGCAAAAATTAAAATTAATGCCCTAATTGGCATACCATCCTTTTCCTCCATCTTCTAAGCAGGTCTGATTTTTTTCTTTAAATAAATTATTACAACTTAAGATTGTATAGTACTATCAAATTCTCCTTTTTACAACACTATCAAATTCAATTTTATTAAAATAAAAGATTGCGACTGTGAAAGATTTATTTAAAATTGAAAATGAAACACCTTAGACAAATTTAGATATTTCGTTGGTTAAGATATCATGCGTCGTCCCAGCCGTAGCACATCGACCAAACTCTTCTTGAAAATACGACATAGATTTCCCCATCACTTCCCCATATGCGGGGACAGTGAAAAAGAACTCAAAATGAAATGTTATTTGACTAATTTGCCCCGATGATTTAACAATATTACCAATATGGTCCTATCGTACGACCTTTGATTATTTTTTTTTTATCCCGAAACTTTGCAGGTTCAATGGGGTGAAATTCTTGGAGAGACACAGAGGGAAGAAGATAATGTTTGTGGGAGATTCTCTCAGTTTGAATCAATGGCAATCATTGACATGCATTCTTCACTCTTCCGTCCCGAATTCTCCGTACAACATTACTCGACAAGGCGATGTTTCATCATTCATTTTCAAGGTATGTTTCATCAATCGTTTTTTCGGATTATCAGATAAATATTGTTTGAAGTCTAAATATAAGAATATTTGAAACTATTATTGTGAATTATGGAGAGTTATGGAGAGGTAGAGTTATCTATTATATGAAAGTATATCTATAATGTATATAAATCCTGATAAAATATTAGAGATTCGTATATATCTCTAATACCTTTCAAATTGGAACATGGAGATCGAAAAACATTTAACTTGGAGAAAAGTATTATCAAATATCGAACGTGTATTTAGCAACTCCATTAGTAAATATATCTGCAACTTACTCTGACGTCCTAATTTGTGAAAAAATAACTCATCCGATGATTAAGTATAAGATATCTACAATACTTACATCGGTTTTTAACGATTATTGAAAAGAAGGAATCTCTCTCTTTTCAAAGAGAATGACTAAGTATAAGAATACAAAGGGTAGAGCAAAGATCTTGCAAAACTCAGGTTCTATCAAGAATTAAGGATTGATATATGTGATGTGGATCAAATATGACATTCTAAGAATGAATATATATCACAGGATTATGGAGTTGAAGTGATGGTCGATCGGAATGTATACTTGGTAGATGTCGTGAGAGAGAGCATCGGTCGAGTTTTGAAGCTTGACTCAATCAAAGGATCCAAACTATGGACCGGAATCGATATGTTGATCTTCAATACTTGGCATTGGTGGAGCAGAAGAGGACCTACACAACCGTATGTTGTAATGAATTAATATATTCTAGGGTTTCTATAACAATATTAAGAGATAATTTATATTTCGATTATTTTGCAGATGGGATTGGATACAAATAGGAGGCAATGTTACAAAAGATATGGACCGTATGGTTGCATTCGAGAAGGCACTTGATACATGGGGCAAATGGGTTGATGATTTTGTAGATCCCCAAAAAACCATTGTCTTTTTCCAAGGAATTTCGCCTTCTCATTACAAGTTTGTTCTTTTCATCACTTTCTTTGTTCAATTTATGATTCAAATTGAACATTTTTGTTTGTTTGTAATTTGATGCTTTTTATTTATTTCTTGGATCTTACGTTTCAGTGGAGTCTTATGGGGAGAGCCAAAAGCAAAGAGTTGCTTGGGCCAGAAGCAACCGCTTTTAGGGACAACATATCCAGGAGGTCTGCCTCCGGAGGTCGGAATTCTGAAAAAATCGCTGAGCAAAATCTCGAAACCGGTGATTCTCCTCGACGTCACGATGCTTTCGCTGCTTCGTAAAGACGGTCATCCTTCGGTATTCGGTTTAGGCGGTCAAACTGGTATGGATTGCAGCCATTGGTGCCTTCCAGGTGTACCAGACACTTGGAATGAGATTCTTTACAATTACTTGGTCAAGTAGTTGTACAAATTGAAGCAAAGCAAACAAAACAAGAACATTTATGTCTTATCAAATTGAAATCTTTACGGAATAAATAAACCGATCTTTGCTTGATATTTTTTTTATTCTATTGTGTTGCATCCCACAAATCAATATGATATGTGACATCGATATTTTACAGAAGTTATTCTAAAATCATCTAACGATCTTATTTGTTACCATAAGACAACAATTTGTAGGTTTATACGATGAAAAATCAAGAAATCCAATCACCAATGATTTTTTTGTTCCACATAGCTTTTTCTTTTATGTATGTGTTCTTGATCCTTGTCCTTTGCTTTGCAAAATCCTCATGCTATATACATGCATTTCTACAAAATTAATCTCATAGAATGGATAAAATGAATTGGTTAGATAAATGTCATAGACTGGTGTTTGTCTATAGTCAGTTTTCTGATAATCTAAATCGATCAAAGTTGATAGGCTCTCTTAGAACACATATACTTGCGATATTAATACATGAGAAGTTAAAGAAACTTTGTCAGTCGTAAAGCAATTGGGTCCTTAGCTCAGTGGTAGAGCATTTGACTGCAGATCAAGAGGTCACCGGTTCGAACCCGGTAGGGCCCTTTATATTTTTTTAAAATTACATTTTCTTTTCAAGGAGTGGATAATTCGGTTCGCGTACGCAAATCGAAACCCTCCAAATTTACTTTATGAAATTTTTTATTAATATAAAACTCGAATTTGTATAAAAGCTGAAGCAAAATGAATCCAATATTAAAATGATTATGTTTTTTTTTTATTAGAAAAATCAAACCTAAAAATTAATTGAATACCCACCCTGATTTTTTTCCGTACTCTTTACATCATGAGAAAAAAAAAAGCTTCAAATTCTCTCCCATCACATCTTACCTTTCACTCTCTATCATTCTCTGAATCCATAACAATATTTGATTCTCATGCGATTATTACATATACAACCACATATATATATATATATATATATATATATATATAATGATTCTTTTTTATATGTAAATGTATACGTTACTCATTATTTCGTTTGCTGACCACAATTACTCTTTTTTTATATATAAAAAAATGGGGTTATAAACAGATATTTTCTTCCAGGCCATTAAAATTTATAGTAAAGGCTTTCATTTTTTTCGCTTTAAAAAAAAAGACAAATTAAAATAATCGATTAGGCAAAGTTTTGATACGTTTGAATAAACTATATATTGTTTGAGTTCGGTTATATTCGGAGAGATAAATTTAGCCCGTTTGGATTTGGTTAAGTTTTCGATTAATCCAAAATAAGAATACTCAAATTGAAATTATATTTTTCACTAAAAAAGAATTGAAATTATAACGAAATAACCATTTTTTTTCCGAATTCTTTTGCCCAAACTTGCATGCACTTCCAAAAGAATCTCCTACCGTTTCACATATTCCTTAATTTATTGTTTTTATTTGTTATATTATAAAATTTTAGACTGGGTTAGGTTAGGATTAAGGGTTTTCCAATATTAGATGGATATTAAGCAAATTAAGCAAGTCATGTTTGAGTGTCAAATGTGTTATTATTTCAGAATAATTTTATGTCCATAAATATATATTTTTTAATCCGAATTCTATTAGAAAAAAAGATAGGTGTTTTGCAAATTTAATCGGTCGTTAATGACAAGTGGGTCGTCATTTTCTCGTTTAATAAAATATTAAATGCAAAGATTATCCGAAATACGTAAGCTAAGAAACAACCATTCAATTTTCGAAAGCAACATTTAAATTTAATATATGTATCATTCTTTCCTCATTGCTCTCAATGTCCCTTTATTCGCAATAACTCCATCTTCCACCTAGTACTAGTAGGATATTCAAATATTTTAATATATTTATAACATTAGCAATCGTATATATTAAAAACTTTTGGGATAACTACAAGCTTTAGAAAATTCAACAATTCAAATAAATAAAAATTTGGATACCTTGAGATCGGATATATACGTCCCAATACAATATATTGATTTTCTAATGATATGATTTCGTAATTAAATACAATCATAAATTTTATAAATAAACATATTTATTTTTTCCAAAATAAATCTAATGTTAATTTAGTGATTATATATAAATATTAAAATGTAATTAAAATCAATATATTTTGAACTTACAAAATATAATTCTAATCCAAACTCCCAATATTTTATTTTTAATATCCAAAATGGTTATTTAGATAGGTTTTGTTGTCCCTTTGAGTTTGTATAATAGTTTTGAAAATCCCAAATTTGATATCCGCGTACCAATTTTACTCACTAGATTAAACCAATTGTTCATTTTCCTCCTCAAAAAAAAAAAAAAAAAACTGTCGGCTTCACGTATTTTTAGAGAAAACCAATAATTTTGTTCTTTTATGATCAATTGGTTCCGAGGAAAACAAAATTCTTTTTGTTCTCCACAACATGTGCATGGCATATATAAACTAGAATTTATTTATGTTGTTGTATTAAATTTCATAAGTTTTGATAATTGTTAACTAAAATAGTGAGAATATCGGTTATTTTATAATGATTGGTCCTAAATCAAATGCTTTCAATAAAAAGAAATAGTATCTCCTATTTCAAAAATTGTTTTTATAACTAATTGAATTAATTTAAATAATTAAAACTACTTTTAATGGTACTTGGATACATAACAGCACTCTTATTAATAGTGTAATAGGAACTGTGCAAATAATTTCAATACAGATTCAGCAAAAAGAGTAAAATGTAAGGTAGGTGGTGTTCCTGTATTCGACTCGAGTTCGGTTAAAAATAATTCGGTTTAGTTTTTTTCAATTCTACAAAAATATGTACCAATCAATTATTATATTATATTTAGTTCGGTTCGATTTCTGTTTTTATTAAGAAAATTTTAGATTTTCTTAAAAAAATTTCAAAAATCGATTCAGTTAAAAAAAATACCATTAAAATATTTTGGACGGTTCAATTAAAAAACGGTATCATATATTTTGGTTTGGTACGGTTAGTTCCGAGTAAACCACCCCTCGTAAAATGTATGTTACCCTTCCAAAGAATTTGCACCATGAAAACAGGGATAGAATAATCATAAGAATCTAAATAAAAGGGTAATAATAATAATGATCTAGGAAAACAAAAGCGTGGGTGAAAAAGTGCCAGCTTGGAGCCACGGCTTACATCAGCATCAGCTGTAATTGGGTCCCACTTACTCTTGTTTTGCCACGTGTCATATGATGACGACGCTCATACGATATCTAACTGTAAGGGTGTCCGTATTCAATACCTGCTCCCGAGTAATTACACCACCAAATGCTTTTTCACCCAGTTCGATACGTTTTCCTCTCTTACAAAATCTAGTATCCTTTTTCCTACCAGATGCCAAATTTACCCCCTCCGCATCTCGAGATTTCCCCCACAGCTGTTGTAAATACGCTCTATACTTGAGGGTAAATTCGGAAACTAATCCTTTTGAACTTCCCAAGACGCTCTCTGCGTCTCTGTCGTTGTCCTTTTACGTAATTTCGCAGTTTCTCTCCTTCTTCCCACCATTTCTCCTTCAGCTTTCACACTCT